AGGGCATTCTGTCTCTGAGGGGCATCCAAGCTGTCACCCCTCTACGGCTGGCTTCCTCGATGGCGGTGACCAGCTATTCCTTGGATAGGCCCATTCTGGGGAGGCCTAGTTCCCGGGCCCTCTCCTGCAAACTTGCCACAGTCCAGTTCCTGTACTCACTAGCCCGGGTTAGGTTCAGCATCAAGGGGCTATTGCTCTCCATTGTCTTCTTCCACGTTCTGATCCCACCACTGCCAACCAGTATGTGACGGAAGTGTAGGTGGGACAGAACACAAGCGGAGAGCAGTGGGCACACAAGGCTTTTATTGAGTGATTTGAAAGGCACTTGATAGGTATAGCAAGGGGAGAGTCCAGGGGCACACAGCAGAGGGGCAGTTAAGGCAGGCAACTGGTAAAGTCTGAACACACAGCAGAGGGGCAGGCTGCCAGGCAATGAGTAGGCACACAGCAGAGGAGACACAGTAGAGGGCACACAGCAGAAGGCAGGCTGTCCAGGCACACAGCAGAGGGGGCGCGTGGGGACACCTAGGTGACCTGCATGTGGAGAATCCACATGCAGGCACAGTGGGGCGGTAGACTTCTTGGTGCCCAGCTGAGAAGAGGTGTGATCCTCGCCGCAGGAGGCATGTCCCTGGTGCCAAGCACACCACTTTGTGGGCTACGTGCGGGTGCAGGGACATGCAATGGGGAAGGGGGGAGAAGAGAGGGAGGGTGGACTGTGACAGGCACATTCTGCTTTTTTGGACTGTGCCATTTCTTCTGGTGATTTGCACGTAGATGTCGTGAATTGATGAGAGCATGTAAATGTCTCATTTGTCCCTCCACTTCATAGCCAATATTTCTTTGCTCTGAAAACTCAAACTCCCCTCGTAGTTTTGTGTTCACCTTGTTGTAGTTTTGTGTTCACAAGCTTTCCTACTAGTGCCACATGCTAGTGTTTTCCTTCAGTGAAGATTGTGGAAAAGGGACAAGCTGGTTTAGTAATTCTCAACATAGAGATGATAACCCTTTTCAAGGAGTGGAAATACAAGCACCCAAATTATTATTATTACATTGAGTTTATACAGCGCCAAGGGTTTGCTCAGCGCTGTACAATAGAGGGGGGGACAATACATGAAACAGTACAGCAACTACAAACAGCACACGAGGGGTTAGAGGGCCCTACCCTTTTGAGCTTACAATCTAGGAGGGAGGGGGTAGTGGTACAGGAGGAAGTGACTGTGGGGGATGGAGTGGTAGGAGGAATGAAGGAGAACGGCAGTTAGGTGAGGGTGGGGTAGGCTTCCCTGAAGAGGTGGGTTTTCAGGGAGCGCCTGAAGGTGAGGAGGGAAGGTGACAGTCTGATGGATTGGGGTAGTGAGTTCCAGAGGATGGGGGAGGACCTGGAGAAGTCTTGCAGACGTGCGTGGGAGGAGGAGACCAGGGGGCAAGATAGAAGGAGGTCCTGTGAAGAGCGGAGGGTACGGGTGGGGTGATACCTGGAAATCAGGTTGGAGAGGTAGTCGGGGGCAGTGTTGTGCACGGCTTTGTAGGTCAGGGTTAGTAGTTTGAATTTTATGCGTTGGGCGATAGGGAGCCAGTGGAGGGATAGGCAGAGGGGGGTGGCAGAGGTGGAGCAGTTGGTGAGGTGGATGAGTCTGGCCGCTGAGTTTAGGATGGTCTGGAGCGGGGAGAGCCTGCACTGGGGTAGGCCGGTGAGGAGGGAGTTGCAGTAGTCGAGGCGTGAGATAATCAGGGAGTGTACGAGTAGTTTAGTGGTGTCTGGGGTGAGGAAGGTGCGTATTTTGGCAATGTTGCGAAGGTGGAGCCTGCATGTGTTTGTAAGTGATTTGACATGAGGTTGGAAGGAGAGGTTTGAGTCCAGAATGATGCCAAGGACTTTGGCTTGCGGGCGGGATTGATGGTGGTGTTGTTGGTAGTGATGGATAGGATGGGGGGGGGGCGGGGGCAGGGGGGAAGACGAGAAGCTCGGTTTTGGAGAGGTTAAGCTTGAGGAAATGGAGCGACATCCAGTCAGAGATGTCGTTTAGGAGGTGAGTGATGCGGGCGGAGAATGTGGGGGTGAGGTGGGGGGTGGAGAGGTAAATTTGAGTGTCATCAGCGTAGAGGTGGTAGTTGAAGCCGTGGGAGTGTATGAGTTTGCCAAGGGAGGAGGTGTAGATGGAGACGAGAAGGGGTCCAAGGACAGAGCCCTGGGGGACCCCAACAGAGAGGGGGAGGGAAGGGGAGGTTGCACCGTTGTAGGAAACGCTGAAGGAGCGTCGGGATAGGTAAGAGGAGAACCAGGAGAGAGTGGTGTCTCTGATGCCAAGGGAGAGTAGTTTATTAAGGAGGAGGGGGTGGTCAACTGTGTCGAAGGCCGCGGAGAGGTCCAGGAGGAGGAGGACAGAGTAGTCGCCTTTGGCTTTGGCGGTTATGACTTCTCCACTTGATCCAATGCAATCTGGGCATTCAGGGGGATGCAGCAGTTTGTCCTTTCCTTTGTACACGAGGAAAGCATAGGCGTACCTAATGGCTCTTTTGCATAACTTGAAGAGTTTAACCCGATATCGGACTCTTTTGCTGGGGATAAGCTGCTTGAAGCTCAGCCTGCCAGTAAAAGGGACAAGCGACTTATCCATGCTACATTTTATACATATTATCATATGCTGGGTCATTTTGGGGAGAGAGCACTGGGTGTTACTGTTGTAATGGAGGAACCGCATGATCATTAGATATCTTGTTCTTAACATGACTGATAAGTGAATTTGGACATTTGAAAGATGGGGTGGGTGGACCAGTAGGAGTGTAATTCTTGTAACTCCTCGCTGCTCTTGTTGGTCTTGCTTAGGACTTGGTATGCCTCCTCACAGGTACATTTTTTTTTTAGACATACTGGTGACTGTGGGCTGGGGACACTGGGAGAGAAGATGGGTGCTGATGAGGCTGCAGTGCTGGATGCTGATCGGGCTGCAGTGCTGGATGCTGATCGGGCTGCAGTGCTGGATGCTGATCGGGCTGCAGTGCTGGATGCTGATCGGGCTGCAGTGCTGGGTGCTGATCGGGCTGCAGTGCTGGGTGCTGATCGGGCTGCACTGTGGGTGCTGATGAGGTGCTCTGCTGGGTGCTGACCAGACTGCTCTGATGTGCACTTATGTGAATTAATGAGGCTGCACTGAGGAGGTTGCACTGATATGCACTGCTCTGAAGCTGCACTGATAAGCTGGCATTGATATGCACAGGTGAGGCAGCACTGATAGGTGCTAATGAGCACTCACTGATGGGCACTGATGAGCACTCACTGATGGGCACTGATGAGCACTCACTGATGGGCACAGATGAGCACTCACTGATGGGCACTGATAAGCTGTAGTGATGAGCCATCACTGATGGGCACTGATAAGCTGCAGTGATGAGGCATCACTGTTGGGCACTGATATGCACTCACTGATGGGCACTATAGGGCACTGATGATCATTAAAAGGGCACTGATGGGCACAGTAGTGTACACAAACTCACTGTTTGGCCACTGATCTCTCTCCTTTTCTTGCACTCAGTATCGATGTGAGGAAAGGAGAGAGAAGACCTAGGCATGACCCTGCATTGTGTACAAACGTGATCACTCATCATTGGACAGAGCGATCATGTGGTAAGTGGCCACTGTGATAGGCCCTTTACCCTTGTACATGGCGTGCTGTGTTCAAGCTGACCTCTCCGGATGTGGCCATCGAAGGAGTACAGGAAGCACAATCACAGGAGGACGTTTTATGACACCCTCCCAGACCTGGCTGCCTACGCTGTAGTTGTCACTTGCCCTATCGGCAAGTGGTTAAGCAGCTTAGTTACAAGATATGTTCACTCATACTTTCCACTCAGAATTATTTAAAAGAATACAATCAAATAACAGAAGTTGTGATATGTGTCCAGCTTATGTATGTCAAGGTGATGCAATACAACCTCCCCTATGGCCCTATGTCTTCATTTCTTCAGAATCATAAAAACACTGGACCCTAAACTGTTCCTTGATTGGGTCACAGTAATGGATCAAGGACTATGTGTAGAGTATTAACTGTCTACTGTGGAGGGCCTGAGTCCTAAATGATGCCTTCTCCTTGTAGTATAAGGCTAGGTTCACACTAATGCAGAGAAATTTTGATCCAATTTTCAATACAATTTTGTAGTGGGACTTGGTATGGTTTGGATACATTTTTAATGCGTGTTTTTACTACTGTGACCCATGTCTGTTGTTAGCTAATGGTCATGCAGTTTTTTTCCCATTGCCATGCGATTCAGGGCAACCCAGGTCACATGTGAAATTGCGTCATTGTTATCCAGGACTACATATGTAAACTTTATTAAAAACATTATTGGAAAAAAAATAGCTGCTGTGCTGAATTCTCACAAAGCTGAACACATTGCCTCTGATTATCATACAGTTTATATGATCACAATGCTCTGAGTGGGATCAAAGGAGAGATTCTTTGAAGAAAAAATGGTCAATTGTACTAGCACATGGAAATATAAAGAATACTGTTTTTCTCTATAAAAAATTAGAAAACAAACACTGACTTTTATTTGTTTTTATCTCTGTACAGGTGGATTGATGAAGTAGGTTTTTGGTCTTCACAAGTCACATTGGAGACAAATCATACTGGTGTTCAGAAAAAGTTTTACTGCACTTCACTGGAGGATTCACACAGGATACAAGCCATATCCGTGTTCTGAATGTCATAAATTGCTTTGGATCCTCTTCAACATTGATCCAGCCTCAGAGGACAACAGGAGAGAAGTAATTCCTGTGTTCTGGAAGTGACAATGACTTTACAGTAAAGTCCAACCCCTGTATACATAAGAGACGTCACGGAGAAAAAAAGATAAATCTTGTTAGGAATGTGACAAAGGTTTTTACAATGGAAGCAAAGTTTATCAGACACCAGAAGATTCACGCTGGAGAGAAGCCATATCAGTGTTCTGAATGTGACAAAGCTTTCACAACAAAGTCAAACCTTATCAGACACCAGATGATTCACACTGGAGAGAAGCCATATCGGTGTTCTGAATGTGACAAAGCTTTTACATTGGAGTCAAGCCTTCTCACACACCAGAGGATTCACACTGGAGAGAAGCCATACCAGTGCCCTGAATGTGACAAAGCTTTTACATTGGAGTCAAGCCTTCTCACACACCAGAGGATTCACACTGGAGAGAAGCAATTTCAGTGTTCTGAATGTGACAAAGCTTTTACAAGAAAGTCAAACCTTATTATACACCAGGTGATTCACACTGGAGAGAAGCCATATCAGTGTTCTGAATGTGACACATTTTTTGGAAGGAAGTCACAGCTTGTCAGACACCAGAGAATTCATACTGGAGATAAGTTGTATCAGTGTTCTGAATGTGACAAATATTGTACAGGAAAGTCAAACCTTATCACACACCAGAGGATTCACACTGGAGAGAAGCCATATCAGTGTTCTGAATGTGATAAAGCTTTTACAGTAGAGTCAAGCCTTATCACACACCAGAGGAATCACACTGGAGAGAAGCCATACCAGTGTCCTGAATGTAATAAAGCTTTTGCAGTAGAGCTAAGCCTTCTCAGACACCAGATGGTTCACACTGGAGAGAAGCCCTTTGAGTGTTCTGAATGTGACAAAGCTTTTATAATGAAGTCAGAGCTTATCAGTCACCAAGTAGTCCCACACTGGAGAGAAGCCATATCAGTGTTCAGAATGTGACAAAGCTTTTACAGTGAAAGGAAACCTTATCAGACACCAGGTTGTTCATACTGGAGAGAAGCCATATCAATGCTCTGAATGTGACAAAGCTTTTACATTGAAGCCAAACCTTATAAGACATCAGATGGTCCACACTGGAGCAAAGCCATTTCAGTGTTCTGAATGTGACAAAGCTTTTAAATCCAAGACAGAGCTTATCATACACCAGAAGGTTCACACTGGACCAAACTCATTTCAATGTTCTGAATGTGATAAAGTTTATAGAAAGAAGACAAATCTTATCGTACACCAGAGGGTTCACACTGGGGAGAAGCCACATCAATGTTCTGAATGTGATAAAGCTTTTGCAATGAAGCCGCACCTTATCAGACACCAGATGCTTCACACCAGAAAGAAATAGTATCAGTTTTCTGAAGTTGATAAAGCTTACCAGTCACCAGGGGTCCATAGTCTTCATCTTCAGCTGCAGAGAGGAAACTCCTAGAGAAGTGGGGTATTAAAGATGTAATAGCTCAGCCACTGTGGAAGAGCTGAGGGTGTCCCAGCAGTTCCTCCACCAATGTGATCCTACAAGCTAATGAGATTGTTAAAAGATATAATGCTAATTTGAAAAACAAACTTACTACAATGTGTGAGCAAACCATGATAAAAAGGATGATGCATGGAGCTTAGTGCTTATATCCATCAGATTCACACTTGAAAGACCTTTGAATGCTTTACATTTTTGGACAAGTTGAAAAGAACTGTGTTTTCTTTATGATTATTATGTTCTTCCTGCTTAAGGAGATTTGTGTGAGTAATTTGTTTGCATTGTACATTAAATGACATGCATTCCCAGATGGTTTCTTGTTTAGAAGATCCTGAGCTAATACATTAAGGGTTCATTCACACCTGCAAATGCACTGGGCCTCTAATTAGATGTGAGAATCCCAGCAGGGGCTCCCGGAATTAGCAGCTGGAGGCAGCTGCATTGAAAGCAATGGGAGGCTTCTAGCTCCTGCAGCTAATCACAGCCACTCGCAGGCAATCACTCATGCAGCAATCCCATGCTAGTGATCAACCTTGGATACAGGCAAGGACCATTTGTAGTAGTGAATTCACCCTAACAAATCTGCCTCAGCAACAGAGACTAGGTAGTGGTCTAGTGGAATCTTGATAAGCCTCTGAAGCTATGTTTGAGGGCTATGGTAAGGTTTTCTCTCTATCAAGGTGTTTCTCTTTATCAACGTTCCTGCTGAACTATAACCACTGCAGCTTCCTGTTAATACCTTAGTAGAGCTGGCCTGTGTTGTTTCTGCTATGCATTAAATCCTGATGCAGGCAATCTCCTTGGCTTGTAGTGCAAAACATGGAGTTAGCTGCAGGGTGCTCCACAGGTCCAGAGCCATTGTCCGCCAGCAGTAGAGTGTTGTCCCTGAAGACCCTTGTGGGGCTATGCTAACCAAGTTGGAAAAAGCCATGATGGGGTATTTCCCTCTGCTAATCCTTCCAATAAATGTGCCAGTGGTTCATTCACATAGACACACACCCAAACAGCATGAATAACATTTTGTTTATTGCTCAGGAGCAGTATGGAGCTGTATGCTGGCAACCTGTGATAGTCAATAGAGTGATAGCAGCTGTCTACACACTCAGGTTTGAGAGGGGCATAGAGACAGGTGTGTGGCCCTGAATGCACGCAGCATGCGTTCTGAACTGTGTCTCCATTGACTAACATTGGCTGCTTGCATGCAGCTCCACAAGCATAATCAAAGATATCTTGAACGCTGTATGGGCTTCTTTGCCATGTAAATGAACCCAAACAGGGTAGCAACCCTAAAAAATTCCCCTGCACAGGGTGTGTTTTAGTTCTAAAACCCCCTAGGAGTGTTTGGGGACCAGTGACCACCCTTCCAGTGGTCGTAGCTTAAAGCTGTGAGTATTTAGATTTTGGTAGCCTTTCCTGGAATTGTCACGTGTGCTGGGTGCTACTGCACCTGCAATCTTACTGAGAATCACTGCATCTGTTCCACCTGACTCTCATTTGGGTCACTGCAGTTGCACACCCTGCCTCTTCCTCTTTCTGGGTGCACCTTTCAATTCCTGGCTCTCCTTTGTTTTCACAGTATTCACTGTACTATCTGGGTTCACAGTAAAATGCAAGTTCTTAGCACCAAGGCCTTCCCTCCTTTTCCACAGCAGAGGAGGTCATGAGTATCCCTGTGGGGACAATATTCACGAGTATGGCAGGTCACAAGTGTGAGGAAAAATGTTCAGTCCGAGTCACCATCCCATGTTTAGCACTTGGCTCAAATGGGGATGGTAGTTTGAGGACCGCTGAGGACCCTAGAACCCTTTCCTCTGATGGTTGTCCCCAATCTCACTCCCTACCTTTCTCTGATCATTCTGCTATCCAGTCTGCCACCCAAGATTCTTCTTTCCTGTCCAAAGAGGAATTGTATACCACAAAGTCATAGTTCATGGTGATAATTTCAGGCCTTTTTAAGGCCATAAATTCCAGGGGGTCACACCTGTGCATAATCGACTTCCCCTCACGACTCCGTCATTGACTTTTTCCTTGAGCCAGACAAGTTTCCCGAGGGGAAATGGGTAGTTGAAGATGATCTGTCTCCTTCTGAGGAGATAGGATCACAACTCCATTGCTGAGATTTCACCACTAAAAAGGAGCGTATGCCAGCGATAAGGTTAGCAATGGTACCCCTAAAGCCCAACTCCAGGTTTTCTGTTATTTGGTTTATTTGGTGAAGCCGGCCCAAATAAAGTATTTCCATGACTAAGAAATGTGGCCACTGTCAGCACTGTACAAACTGTATGTAGCTTCAGCAGTACGGGGACTTGCTGTCAGTACAATGGTGTCAGCAGCCACATCTCTTAGTCATAGAAAACGTTTATTTGGACCAACTATTTACAGTAACACAAAACCCTGAATTAGGCTTTCAGAATACCATTGCTAACCTTCTTGCTGGTGTACGCTCCTTTTTAGTGGTAGATCAATCATGAGTCTGCTTATCCCAAGGTATCCAGCATCTGGTCCCTTAGATTGTCTGAACCAGCTAAGATATTCCTGTTCCACTCACTGGTGGAGTCCGTTGACATGTCTTATTGAGGGAACTCTCCTCCTTAATGGGCAGTTCCTGTGATAGATCCTGCCATTTCTTGTCACAACAAAACCCTTTGTGGTGTAACCTTCACTGCATGGACTAAATACAAGCCAGAGATCTCGGTTCCATCCTTATGGATGTCTCATTCCATAGCCAGTTGGACCTTTTACCTACTGCCTTATGCTACTGCATGAACAGCTTGGCAGACACACTTCATCAGATCTCCAGGGTGAGTCTCCCCTCCATCCATATGGACATGGCACTTTGGCTTCAGTACCCTCATGTTTCTCCCCCACTTCATTACCAGGCCTTTTCTCAGTTTTCTGCATTGTGATATTTTGACAATCATGCAACACTCAATTTTTATATCATTTTATAGAATCAGCGCTTTCTTTTGGTGGTTTTTAATCATCATTGGGTTTTTATGTTCTACTATAGAAAGGAAAAGGACTGAAATATATATATATATAATGTTTTTCCTAATATACTGTGTGTGTGTATATATACAGTAGACCTTCCAATAACCAATCTTTCTTAATACATGTATGCCAAAATGTATTCTACATTTTTTTAAATAAAAATAAATCCAAATCAGTGTGTATTGTTTATTCTGTGGGAAAGCTCTGCAGTCTGCAAACTATGAGATATACATTTGAAATGTATCAGTCCTGATGTTCTAACTGAATATATTTCTTGAGGCCCTTAAATGAAACTATTTTGGGAAGAAAGCATGCCAAGGTGTTGTCTAAGGTACATTGTGAGTTTTTTTTTGAAGATTTCATTTTTTTGCCCCAAATTTTTTTGCTGCATAAAGTTTTTTTTTTTAAGATATTTCTCTCACAAAGCATGGGAAAACTTATAAATATGCCCTGAGACATAATAAAAGGTGAGGTTGTTGAGGGACGTTATGTTTCACTTCACGTGCTTTCTTACGTGCGAAAACAAAGGTGCAGTCCAGTCCGGGTTTCCGGTGTCATCCTGGCAGTGTGAGATCTGCTCTGGGTTTTGCTTCCCATTTGTGACCAGCAGCAAGTGAGATAAATAATGGAAGGGCTGGAGCAAGAGGGTGCTCTGGACTGGAACTCAGGAAGCCACCTGAGATGGAGGTCCATGTGGATATCTCTCTGTCAGAGAAAGGAAAAGGTTTGCTAAATGCTTGGGGTATTTGTTGATGGCCGGGAGAAGCCCTTCACCTGTGAGAGAGGAATCTGTAGAGCAGTGTTTCTCAACTCCAGTCCTCATGGACCCCCAACAGGTCATGTTTTTTTTAGGATTTCCCTCAGATGAAACAGCTGTGGTAATTACTTAGGCAGTGAAACTGATCAAATCACCTGTGCAAAATAGTGGAAATCCTGAAAACATGACCTGTTGGGGGTCCATGAGGACTGGAGTTGAGAAACACTGCTGTAGAGTTTCACGCCTGGATGGCAAGGATTTCTCTTCTCATTTGTTTCTCTGTGTCTAAGCTTTTTCTACAACTGACTACAAGTCTGAATTTTCAGAAAAGACCTGTTGTTTGGCCTGCCTTCTTCCCAGGGAAGGTGATCCCCACTTTACCCGACCACCACAATATATATAGAGATCACAGACCCCAGATTGTTCCTGCAGTTTGTCCCAGGTTCTATTCCCTATTGGGTGTATGCAGGCCAGGAACATAAAAGATTCTCCAGAGAGGTCCTGCTGATTGTCCAAGGTTCTATTCCCTATTGGGTGTATGCAGGCCAGGAACACAGGAGATTCCACAGGCTGGTCCTGCTGATTGTCCAAGGTTCTATTCCCTATTGGGTGTATGCAGGCCAGGAACACAAAAGATTCTCCAGAGAGGTCCTGCTGATTGTCCCAGGTTCTATTCCCTATTGGGTGTGTGCAGGCCAGGAACACAGGAGATTCCCCAGACTGGTCCTGCTGATTGTCCCAGGTTCTATTCCCTGTTGGGTGTATGCCGGCCAGGAACACAGGAGATTTCCCAGACTGGTCCTGCTGATTGTCCCAGGTTCTATTCCCTATTGAGTGTTTGCAGGCCAGGAACACATTAGATTTTCAGTCTCTCCACACAGTGACAGGCAGAATGTGTCATTTTCAGATTTATTACTTGAAGAATTGGGATAGGGAATGGGGTAAGCCTTGGGATACCCCAGAACTAGTGCAAATTTGGCTGAGGACACTCTTTAGAGAGGGTTAACTTCTTTAACATAGGCCTCAAAGGTAGCAGAGTGTGGACATCCATCTCAGGGGGATCCCACTCTGGAAACAGCACTAAACCAGCAAATCTGGAACAGTCCCTTCACAAAAGAGGACA